GTAACCGTAAGTGATTTAGCTTACAAACCTCCATGCTGGGGTCCGTTAACTTGGCCCCCCCACTGAGAGATTTCATAGTCGTATTATTTTGAAATGAATGCGCTCGTTATGCGCTCATATGCGCCACCGATAATAACTCTTGCGCCATTATCGTTTTTTAGAAATCCGAAAAAACATCTGGGGGGGGGGCAAGTGAACGTAGCCCCCCCCCAGTACGTATTTTGTCCCTTGTAACTAGGTCACCTGATACATTTGGTTATGCGCTCAATTGCGCCACTTGAATTAAAGCTAGCGCCATTACGGTTAAGCCGTGACAAATTTTCCAAAAGTGGGGAGGCCAACTTAACGTTTTTAAAAGTTACTTTTTTTTAACATCTTTTCATACGAAATTGTACTCTCAGGTATGCGCTGAAATGCGCCGTAAAAACATATCTTTGCGCCATTATTGTTTTTGGTTATCCTTAAATATATTTGGGAGGGGGGGGGCAAGTGAACGGAATCCCCCATAACGCATTTTGCTACCGGTATTTGTGCCACTTGATACATCTGGTTATGAGCTCAATTGCGCCACTTGAATTAAAGCTAGCGCCATTGTCATAAAAAAATTTTAAAAAGTGGAGGGTCTAACTTAGCGTTTTCAAAAGTTATTTCCGGAAGTGCGTCCATTTTGAAAATATTTTACATCGATTCGGCCTTTGGAGTAACTCCTAAATACAAATTTTTAAAAACCTACCTATTTTACTTTCTCAGAATCGTTTAACTAAAGCTCCCAAAAAACACCCTGTATAGTGTTTCTGAAACACTATAATGGCGCCAAGATTTTTGTTTACGGCGCATTTTAGCGCATGATGAAAGGTACGATGTAGTAGAAAAAACATGTTAAAAGACGTAACTTTTGAAAACGTTAAGTTAGCCCCCCCCCCTTTTTAAAATTTTTTTATGGCTTAACCGTAATGGCGCTAGCTTTAATTCAAGTGGCGCAATTGAGCTCATAACCAGATGTATCAAGTGACACAAATACCGGTAGCAAAATGCGTTATGAGGGATTCCGTTCACTTGCCCCCCCCCCCCAAATATATTTAAGGATAACCAAAAAACAATAATGGCGCAAAGATATCTTTTTACGGCGCATTTCAGCGCATACCTGAGAGTACAATTTCGTATGAAAAGATGTTAAAAAAAAGTAACTTTTAAAAACGTTAAGTTGGCCCCCCCACTTTTTGAAAATTTGTCACGGCTTAACCGTAATGGCGCTAGCTTTAATTCAAGTGGCGCAATTGAGCGCATAACCAAATGTATCAGGTGACCTAGTTACAAGGGACAAAATACGTACTGGGGGGGGCTACGTTCACTTGGCCCCCCCCAAATGTTTTTTCGGATTTCTAAAAAACGATAATGGCGCAAGAGTTATTATCGGTGGCGCATATGAGCGCATAACGAGCGCATTCATTTCAAAATAATACGACTATGAAATCTCTCAGTGGGGGGGGGGCCAAGTTAACGGACCCCATGCTGCGTGGGATGGGACGCCGGTATAGTGATTACCATTTAGGTTGTTTCTATTTTTCTTCGATACAATGACTGTATCCTTTGCGGGTTTGAATCAAAAGCCGTCGGTTTAGTTTGATGCAATTCCATATGTTTGTATTCAAACACATTTCACGACATCAATTATTTCAGGAAATAATTACATACAGCGACAGCATCGCTTTGTAGTGAGTTTCCCTTTAGACACATTATTGTAAATAAATATAATCCTTTAATTAAATAAATGTGCAATGTGCAGTATTTTACAGTCGGTATTTCTATAAAGGCTAATTGTGTCGCTTAGTACAAAATGGGGCCATGCTATCACTGAAAAATTTTGGTGCGCATTTAAAACCTAGGATAAAACAGAATTAAATTCACTTATAACGGGGGCAAAAGCCCTGGGTCCCACATGCTCCCTAGGAACTGGCATAAGGTGACATTCACACTTAATTTTTTAATATCTAATCAATTATAAAATATCTGAAACTTGTGGAGGCTAACAGCTAGTCTGCAAGCGGGCCAAAGCTTTAAGGTACGTAATTCTACATTAGTGTTTCTGTATAAAAAAATGTCAGTCTTTTTTACACTTTGGAAAATACTATGATCCGTCCACTATTACGTCTATACAGGATTATTTCGTTGCCCTAAGCATGTTTTTACTACGCCTATTAGCTAATCCGCGCAAATGTATTCTTAATTTAAATCTTTACAGAAGAAACTAAAAAATGCAGCCTAATTCCACTGTAGAATAAAAATTAAAATCTTGAAATTTCAAGCTGAAGTTTAATTTCGGAGAGAATGATAAGTACTTTTATTTAAAATTAGATTAAAATACAAAATTAAACATTTAAGCGACCGACGTCGAAATTGTTTCCATAATCTCGACTCTTACTCAAATTTGTAGATCGTTCGTTCGTCGTGAAAGCTCTCTGTTCTTGCTAGTTAGTTACGATTTAAAATATATTTATTTCTTCGGGCAAAAACAAACCAACTTAATATAACTTTTCGTTTATGGCATTTTAGAGAAATAAACTGAAGGAGGTCAACAATGTTTTCTTATAAATGCATTCGTACATAAATTGTTTTCGAACATATTCCTCGCTACAAGACAGATTTGTCCACATTATGCTCTATACTTAATCGGCATACTGTTGCAATTGAAAAGAATTTGAGTACTGTTTGGAAACCCGGAAGGATGGAAGCATGAGGCACCTTTTTCCAACATTTACGAAAGCCAATAAGATTGCTACTTTTTGTCGACCAACCCAAAAATTTCATTTCTGCGATACCACATTTCCATTAGAGGTGTTGTATACTATGGAATTACTGTTCTTTGCGATTCTAATGTAGTTCATAATTGTTGTACCCATTAATCAATCTACTTTATCGGTGAAAACGGTTAGGTAGAAACTGTTGGTCGTAGGAAAGATATAAAGATTTTCCCGCCCCATTTTGTTGGTAGGTAAATAAATAAATTTGAGGAAACTTGATTATACATTAAAGTATTGGCCATTTTCCATTATTGAAAAAAATTAAAATTATGTTTTTCACATTTCATCATAGTCTTCATCTGTTCTATAATGTTCATACATGTGCCTATACACTGGGGATGGAGTAGGTATACTGTACGTGATATAATACGTGTGGCGAAAATAATGGACTTACCACCAGTACCTGAAAGTATATCACGCATTCGCATAGTAAGATGGAACTGCAAAACGGGCTGTGGTGCCATGAAATGTAATTGCCGAAATAATGTACTAGGCAGTTCATGTGGTCAGTGTCAAGAAACAAACTGTAAATATCGTCCGCAGCGAATAGAAGGCAGTGTACAACCTTCCTTTTTTACCAAAAATCGACTGCACCAAAATTTCTCGGGAAAACACTTTTTCTTATTATTTTGGTGCGTAGAATCCAAAACAATTCGTACTTTTTCGATCAGACTTCTCAATCAAAAGTTATAGACTAGAAACCAATTTCGAAAGAAAATTCAAAGGGCTGTAACTTTTGAACTAGTAGCGCAATCTTGGAACTGTTTGAAATTATGGATTCTACAGGCCACATTCTATAAAAAAAACAATTCGTACTTTTTCGATTAGACTTCTCAATCAAAAGTTATAGACTAGAAACCAATTTCGAAAGAAAATTCAAAGGGCTGTAACTTTTGAACTAGTAGCCCAATCTTGGAACTGTTTGAAATTATGGATTCTACAGGCCACATTCTATAAGAAAATTTTTTTCCGGACGATCTGAGACAATTTTTTTTTCGTGGCAAAAAAAGGCAGTGTATAACCTTCCTTTTTTACCAAAAATCGACTACACCAAAATTTCTCGGGAAAACACTTTTTCTTATTAATTTTGGTGCGTAGAATCAAAAACAATTCGTACTTTTTCGATCAGACTTCTCAATCAAAAGTTATAGACTAGAAACCAATTTCGAAAGAAAATTCAATGGGCTGTAACTTTTGAACTAGACCCAATCTGGGAACTGTTTGAAATTATGGATTCTACATTCGTACTTTTTCGATCAGACTTCTCAATCAAAAGTTATAGACTAGAAACCAATTTCGAAAGAAAATTCAATGGGCTGTAACTTTTGAACTAGCAGCCCAATCTGGGAACTGTTTGAAATTATGGATTCTACAGGCCACGTTCTATAAGAAAATTTTTTTTCCGGGACGATCTGAGACAATTGCCATAAGTAATGCATTGTAAACTTCTAAGCAAAAATTCAAGGTTGATTCTCAAATGAAATAGGTACTAATTGTCTAGTATCACGGGTTTTGTATTTTTTTTGTCTATCGAGTGACGTAAAAAACAAATATGGCGTCCATAGGAAATAAGAAAGTTGATGTGATTTACTCAAAACCCACAAGTCATAAACCGGCCATCAAAAAGCTGAGAAAAAATCAAAATCAAAATTGTTTTTTGATATCTTTGAAAATAAATGAACGTCGGTACGTTCTTCAAAACGTCATTTTTCGGGTTCGAGCATGGTTATTTGTAAGTATATAGTGTGCTGGGTTGGTAGAACAACCTTGATGGAAACCCCGCTCATTAAAAAATAAAGGCTTAAATCAAAAATAAAAATAAATTTGTAGTTATAGGAACTTTAAAAGGGAAAATCAAATTTTACATAACTTTGTCTATTTAAACGATTTTGATCTCTTACGGTTTACGAGGTCTCAATGGTGAAAAAAAAACTCACCCTGTAGATATATTATGGCAATACAAAAGTAGCGTATTTACCTACCACAGAATTAAAGTGTTTCTTTATCTCTCAAATTTAAGTCCCTTCGGCAACATACATTTTCATTCTTGAATTCCGAGGGACGGTTGCTCTATAGATACAGTGTGGTCATACGGTACATAGTGTTTCTATTGGAATACGGTAGTATTCTATTGGTATTTATACAGTCACTGTAGATCAAGCTATCCATATTTGAAAGACTAACTATGCTTTTGTTTCAGTTGCAGTTGCTGTTGGTGATATTTCCGAATATGCCGTTGTTATTCCACATGTTGGGTAAGTTTTTGATTGGATCTTGCATGCTTTTGACATCATTTATGTAATATCTTTTTGGAAACTTTGGAATATTTTTGACAACAATCTGCAATAGACACAGACACCACTTTTGTGGTGCAGAATAAGAATAGTTCATTTCTAATAATATCAATTGAACGTGGAAAATCCAAATGACATAGGTAGTGGTATGCTTCAAAACGTTTCTGAAAAAAAATGGGGGGTCATTTTTTACCCCCCTTACGCGCAGGTTGTGAGAAAGGTTGACAGCAAAAAGTATTCACACCGGTTACGGTTTCGATCACTTGTTTTTAAAATCAATTACGCATTAAATTGGAAATCAACTCCTCGACAATATACAGAATATCATGGCTTATGCAGATTGCACAATAGTGCTTTAGTTGCCATTTCTAAAAATTATCAAATAATTTCGCTTTATGGTTTAGGACTTCATGTACACGTATCTGTTTCCACCATTTCTTCCTACAGGGTCTCTATCAGCTGAGACACACTGCGGTCTCAATCAAAGTTAGGGCCACTTCCAACTGGTCCACCCATCTTCGCCTTATCTAATTGGGGCTTCTCAAAATAAAGCAATGTTCAGGCAGTACTTAATTTCAAAATACAGGGTGTTACATATATCATGAAATTTTGTTTGTGTGTTTTGTGTGTCCATAGTATTATTAAAAACAATAAAAGCCGCCCAAAACTTGACAAAAGAACATATTAAAAACACACAAATTTCAATCAGTATTTTAACCCCCAAATAACGTTAAAACTCGATTTCAGCTACTTTCATTTATTTCAAAAAGTAAAACGTATTTTGGTTCAAATTTATGGCAGTTTGCACTGTTGTTTACGATTAAAACCCGTAATTGTTATTGCAATGGTTGCCATGGATTTTAAGCTATGGTTATCTTAAATATGACGATCATAATGATTTACACTAGAATAACGGGTGATCAAAAATGAGTTGCTGTCGAGTCGCCTTTGGAAGATCAAGTTAAATACGATTTCCCATATGTAAACAAAAGTTCCAAAGGTGACTCGACCTATAAGCAAATCTCCTTTTATGACCAAATTTTTAGAGGAGAGTTGTGCTTGTAGAACAAAAGCATTTCTTTTGCAATGGAATAAAGCCAAGAAACAACCCTCAACAGAAATATGAGATCAATTAGCGAAATACCGCGCTTAATTTAAAGCATTCACAGTGTTATTACAGCCGGTAAATGATATGAAGTTAGCGAATTAGAGAAGAGCAAAGGAAAAAGTTGTCAACGACGAGAAACCCCTAATTAAAATGATCCCAAATTAAACGCGAAACGAGCAATAGCACAAAACCATTTATTTGTAGGTTCAAGGAACTGACAGGTAGTTGATTAATATTTTTAATAATCGATTTTAGTCTTAGCTTAGAAAGAAATCAAATCAATATCCATTGTTATTAGTTATTTACCTACAAAGTTTTCACCTCTCTCTCCCGCAGTCCGCTCTCGGTCGCCCAAAATTAATTTCCTACGCTAATATCTTGAGTGGAGAGAGAGAGAAAAAAATTGTCGGAATTTCGTATTGTTCATTATTAAAAAAAAATGTAACTTTCTTCCTTTTCAAGAGTCGTAGCTTGCGGCTATAGGTATGTGGCGACCTTTTCAGACAGAAATGGATAACTAATAAGAACGTTTTCGCTTATTCATTGTTTGTATTCTTCCTGCGGTCTCTCAAAAGAAACCAATTGCCTTTCTATTATAGTGGATATAAAGTCGTATTCTATTTACAGAAAAATGTTCATTTCTTTTGTGAACATTTCGTCAAGGTGCTACCGAGACGGCGCCACCTTTTTTTTTTTCATTAACCGACATTAAATTTGTAACTTCACTTGGCACACGCTTTACTTACAAAGATGGAATGCTTTTTTTTCGAATTCGATTAATTTGGAATCCTCACATAAGTTTATATCTCATCGCACCCATCATTATTGGACCGACAAATAACCTGTCATTAATGGCCATTTTAACAAATTCAAAAATATGGAAGTCTACTTACTCAACGTCACCATTAACGAAAGTACCTATCAATTTTTCCTAACCAAGAATCGATGTGTAATTTTTTCATTTCTTTCTCATAGATAATCGGCCAAAGTTTAATCTTTTAAATACATCTACTAACAGGTAACCCCAAATCGCCGCATTTTTAAGTCTATAATTATTTGTAATTTAATTGATAAAAATGTGGCGATTCCTTTTCGAGAGAGAGAGCAAGGGAGAGGGCAAAAAATTTAAGTGGTGTCGCTTTTGCGGCGCATTAAAATTGTTACATTATGCAAGCGAGCCATTCTCAGCCCTTCGCTCTAACCCAGAATTTTCACACTTCGCATAAACTTAACAACGTCCTACTTCTTTCTCGAAAAGCTTTTCCGAGTTTAAATAATAAATCGCTTTCGCCTCGAAATCATTTCCAACTTTAAAACGACATACCGAGACGTACTTTTTTTTATCCGCTCGGCGAAAAAAAAATTGAGTGGATTTTTATTTAGATTCATAAATTTTTGCCACATCACTTCATAAAAAAGGCCAGCGGTACCGCGTTCATTTTAAGCAAACGAGTTGATATCGATCTCGTTTGCCGTTTTTATTCGCGAGAGATGCGCCCTTAAGTTAAAAAAAGCTACGTCTCCGTGCGCATTACCTACGTCAATTGGGACAGGTGTGTGCTGGAAATTGGCTACGCTCAACAGTTAAAGTTTTCCTTTATTCTATTATGTACTTAGTGCTTTGGCGGTTTCATGTTCTTTGCAACATTTATACTAAAAGTTCCTAAAATATGCTTCTTGACAGATAAAATTTCACGAATGGGTCAGGCCAGAGCCTGGTTACAGCCCTTTGAATTTTCTTTCGAAATTTGTTTCTGATGGTCTATAACTTTTGATTGAGAAGTCTGATGGAAAAAGTACGAATTGTTTTGGATTCTACGTACCAAAATTAATAAGAAAAAGTGTTTTCTCGAGAAATTTTGGTGCAGTCGATTTTTGGTAAAAAAGGAAGGTTATAGCCCTGGGCCAGAGCCACCTTAGAGGCAATAAAATCACATACCCTGATGGTAATTTGGTTTGGGGACCTCGTAGGTTTAGCGTAGTAGGTACTATAGCGAATATTCTAGAAATTCCGATAGACATTGAGGCACCATGAGAAATTAGTTATCGGCTAAGGCGGATTTCGGACTCGGAAGCATTCGAGAGCACTCGAGAACATTCGAGAAATTTGCTATATAAGCAAATCGGATTACGTTTCAGTCAGCTCCCACAGCGTTGCCGAAGTGAAATGTTAGTAATAAATAGTACGCGCTCGTGGTATATTGTAAATTGTGAGTGATAAATACTAATGAACTATTATAAATTAATCCATTTCAAAACTTTTATAAATTTATTGTTAATTAATGGCCCGAAAACAGTTAAGGAGAAAATAGGGTTTCAATGGGTCATATCTTTTTTGCCTATTAGAGATACCACAAATACTCAAAAACCATTTTCGAAGTATGGAAGGGAAACCATTCCCCCACCTTTCAAATTGCTTCCCATCCCTTACAAGGTATCATTGGAAAGCGGTTTTCATTTACATCATAGAAAACACATTTAACACAAGTATAAATTGTCCACAACTCTTGTGGAGATAAAGCTCATTTTTTTAAACCGAAATAGCTTAGCAAATGGTTGCGTTATAAGGTTTCTTTCTTGGTAGATGATTTAATGGGGAGGGGAGGGGGCAACTTTACACATGAACAGTTAAAGGTCGCTTGGCATACATACAAAATCTACGACATATAATGTAATAAGAATTGAGCCCTTGCAGAAATTCTCAGAAATATTGCATTTTCCCTTTTCCTTTAACATTTTCGAGATATTTAATTATTGTCTGGTTTAGATGTTCTTTCTGTCCGTTGAGTGTACCCTCCTCCCACACCCCGTTCTGCGGTGAAAGTTCTAGCATCGCCAATAGATATGCCTCGTCCTGACGTTCAACTTGCCCTTTATGAACACCGTCTTCCGACACTTCGTTTTCAAGATATTAGCTTCGTCTTCACTAATAGATATATACATTTTGCCTTTGTAGATACTTTTCTCCGACAAACCATTTTAGAGATATTCGCTCGTAAAGTTTTGACATCACCAATAGATATATTTCTTTCAGACGTCCCAATCGTACCATCCTCTGACAATCTATTCTTGAGATATAAGAAATTATTCATATCGGATCACGATAAGGGGTCGAGGAGGAGGACTATGGGGTGCAAAAATGAATTCATTTCGTTGAGACCTTTCATTAGAGTACCATAAAGCATAAAACCCCTCCCCTCTCGCCCCCCCCCCTTTTGTTGATAAAGAGTCAGAAAGGCGGTACTTGGTAGCAAACAGTTTCTTTTGTTGAGACCATGAAAGATAAAATTGATTTCTACCCCCTCCCTCCTCCCCCGGTTATAGTTTGTACAGGGTGTCTCAATAAAGGTCACAGGCCATATCTATGGAATCGTTAATTGCACACTTTCGGGAAAAAATGTTTGTTAACAAAAGACGCCAACAGAAATCGCTGGAAATTATTTCGTAAGTTTATAGGTTTACCGCTAGACGGCGTACGATTGGTGAATGTGCGTATTTTCGCCAAATCTCTGCTTAGGAAACAGATATTAAAATGCGGTTTTCCCTGATATTTTCAATTTTCCATCTTATTAGTTATTTGATATATCATATAGGTTCCATTTAAAATTTCCAAAGTTTATGTTAATGTCAAACAGCGCCCTCTACCACTCGTCACATTAACAAAAGACTATATTCATGTAAAATTCACGATTTCACGAAGGGAGCTCTTTCCAACAAGACCTATTATGTGAAAATCGGTTAACCTAAATCGAAGTTACATTCAATTTTTTAAAGAGATGTTCCTCATCCTCCACCCCTAATATTTTATGAGCTAGAGCAATATGTGCTGTATCAAAATTATGCAAAGTTGATA